TGTTAGTTGTATGGTGAGCTCTGAAGAGGATCAAGGAATAACGTGGGTGAAGATGTGACTGATTGATATAAATTACCTGGGCATGCAGTGAAGCAGGGTAGGTGAAAGCAGGCGGAGGTAGAGCAGGTGCTAACTCCGCTGGGTAGAGAGGGTACGGCGCCCACACTTCAGGGCTACTGGGGTAAAGTGCAGGCACTGTAAGTTCATCTGCAAGAGAAGAATAAGGAAAGGTCATCATTAAAAAAAAACCCAGTAAATGCAGAAAACAAAACGGCAAATTGTCTCCACCGCCAAACTAAGATGGTCTCTCTGACCACTCCTCTTTCTTCAAAAAGCAAAAATGGAGAAAATCAGGGGGAAAAGTTTGCTCTGAGACAACCTGTGAAAATCAACATCTATATCTTACATGAAAAAACAAGGATACTTTTCAACAGGGGCATAACAGGAGACAGAGAAAAATCAAACTAAGCTACTCTACCAACTAAGAGCAATCAAAGTAAACATTGATAATATCAGCCAGGTTGACTGGTGATGATGGGAATTATAGTCTAACACAGCCATAGAACACCAGATCAGGAAAAACTGTTATACATGTTTTGAATCAATGAATACAGCTGAAACTATACTTGATGCTTCAACTGGGAAACTCTGAAAGAAAACAATCTACTATTTGCTTCATTACATATTTAAAACACAGAACAATGCATCAATGTATGTAATCACATCTAATATTATTTCATAAATAGCAGAAATATATAGGTTCCTAAAGAATTATCATAGACCTGGAAAGCTGGGTAAAGGGAGCTGACTGCAATTGTTTGTAAACCATCTTACCCTCACTCATCATGAATTTATATCCCGGATAAGTAACACAGCCTACATCACATTATTCATAATATCAGAGCCTTTGAAAACACATGATCAAATAATTAAAAGTAAACAAAATGACATATGAATATAGAATGAATTCAGTTAAGCCAAAAACAACAGCCAATATTCAATGTGACAGAAGCTAAAACTTTCTTCAGAACTGTTTCTCATAAAACAGTGATGGCGAACCTTTTAGAGACCCAGTGCCCAAACCCACTTATTTATCACCAGGTGCCGGGTGGGTGTGGCCGCGATGGTCATGGCAGACTGGGTGGGCGGGGCCAGGGTGGTGGTGGCCAGTCCCTCGCCATCTCCTGGGCACAGCATGTGTGCCCACAGAGGGGTCTGAGTGCCTCCTCTGGCATGCGTGCCATAGGTTCACCGCCACTGTCATAAAATATATCAAATTATAGGTCCTGGCATTTTGTAGCATGTTGCCTTGTATAAAATGTATTTCTCAATTCTTTACAAAATTCTAGGCAAATAGATCAATCAGCCTACTAAAGTAATGGCTACTATAAGAAGACATGATGGGAGATTGAAACCTAGCCATTTAAGATAAAGCAGCTGGATGGCCTCTCTTCTTTTGTATGGCAGTTTAGGAAATAAAGAAATCAAGGAAATAATAAATTGGACTTGCATTCTTAAAGTTGTGCACTTCACAATTTTATCTATTATCCAAGATTTAATCTCAAATGAAAGTGCTAATCTGACTTAGTTACATCACTGAGACCTGGATTAAGAAGAAGAGGGAAGCTGTATGCACTGGCTACTCTGTGCTCTGAAAAACTCAGAATGGGAGTTAAGGAAGCAGCTTGACCTTCGTCTTTAGGAATTTCGTCTTGCTTACTAGACATTCTATCCAATAGTCCTCCAATTCTGAGTGTGTGCAGGGATGGTTGTGGGAGGTTGCTCTGTTTGTCAGCCTTAAATCCATCCCATAAAAGGCCCACAATTTTTGTTGTTGAAATTTGGCCATTTTGCCACCGAAATTTTGCAATAGGATCTCATGCTGTGGGAGAGCTGCAAATGGATTCCACTTCATCTACAAACAGTTGAATAATTATATAAATTGTTTGGAAACATAATTAAAAGTTGTTCCTTACCATCTCATTCCAAGGAAGCAATCAGTATCTTTGAATGTTGCCTAACTTCAATAATGAACTACATGAGGGAGAATAAACTGATATTAACTTAAATAATAATAATAATAAAGTTGGAAGGGATCTTGGAAGTCATCTAGTCCAACCCCCTGCTCAGGCAGGAAACCCTACACCATTTCGGACAAATGGCTGTCCAGTCTCTTCTTAAAAACTTCCAGTGTTGGAGCATTCACTGCTTCTGGAGGCAGGTTGTTCCACTGGTTAATTGTTCTAACTGTCAGGAAGTTTCTCCTTAGTTCTAGGTTGCTTCTCTCCTTGATTAGTTTCCACCCATTGCTTCTTGTCCTGCCTTCAGGCACTTTGAAAAATAGCTTGACTCCCTCTTCTTTGTGGCAGCCCCTGAGATATTGGAACACTGCTATCATGTCCCCCCTCATCCTTCTCTTCATTAAACTAGACATACCCAATTCCAGCAGCCGTTCCTTATATGCTTTAGCCTCCAGTCCCCTAATCATCTTTGTTGCTCTTCTCTGTACTCTTTCTAAAGTTTCAACATCTTTTTTACATCGCGGTGACCAAAACTGGATGCAGTATTCCAAGTGTGGCCTTACCAAGGCATTGTAAAGTGGTATTAACACTTCACGTGATCTTGATTCTATCCCTCTGTTAATGTAACCTAGCACTGTGTTGGCCTTTTTGACAGCTGCAGCACACTGCTGGCTCATATTTAAGTGATTGTCCACTAGGACTCCGAGGTCCCTCTCACAGTTACTACTATTGAGCAAGGTACCCCCTATACTATACCTGTACATTTGGTTTTTCTTGCCTAAATGTAGAACCTTGCTTTTTTTACCATTGAATTTCATTTTGTTAGATAGTGCCCAGTGTTCAAGTCTTCCAGATCCTTCTGTATCGTAAGCCTGTCTTCTGGAGTGTTGGCTATTCCTGCCAGCTTGGTGTTGTCTGCAAATTTGATGAGTTCCCCATCTATCCCCTCGTCCAAATTGTTGATGAAGATGTTGAAGAGCACTGGACCCAGAACAGAGCCCTGGGGCACCCCACTACACACTTCCCTCCATGTAGATGCGGTTCCATTGAGGGCCACATGCTGAGTACGGCCGGTCAGCCAGCTACGGATCCATCTGGTGGTGATGCTGTCTACCCCACATTTTTCTATCTTGTCAAGTAGTAGGTTGTGATCTACTTTATCAAATGCCTTACTGAAGTCCAAGTAAATTATATCCACAGCATTCCTCTGATCCACTAATTTTGTCACTTGGTCAAAGAATGCAATAAGATTTGTCTGGCATGATCTGTTTTTGACAAACCCATGTTGGCTTTTAGTAATGACTTTGTTTGCCTGTAGGTGTTCGCTGATTCGTTGTTTGATTATCTTTTCCAGAATCTTCCCAGGTATTGAGGTCAGGCTGATAGGTCTGTAATTTCCTGGGTCCATTTTTTCCCCTTTTTTTTGAAGATGGGAACTACATCAGCTGTTTTCCAGTCCTCTGGTAGTTCCTCAGTGCTCCAGGATCTTTGAAAAATATAATTCAGTGGTTCTGAGATCACATCTGCCAGTTCCTTGAGAACCTTGGTCCTGGCAATTTGAACTCGTCTAGGCTGGACAGGTGCTCACTTACCATTTTCTTGCCTATCTTAACTTTGTGTTTCTATTCTGTTTTTTATGGCACTATTTTTGATAGGTTGGTCTGTTTTTTTCCCTTTGTGTATAGACAGATGCAAAAAACGAGTTAAATAGTTCTGCTTTCTCCCTGTTGCTTGTCACCTCCTTGCCACTTTCACCCACTAATGGACCAATCATTTCCTTCGTTTTTTTCTTGTTTTTTACATATTGAAAGAAGCTTTTTTTTGTTATTTTTGACTTTGGTCGCAAGCCTTAGTTCATTTTGAGCCTTAGCTTTCTTCACTTCATCTTTGCAGGCTCAGGCTATTTGCTGATATTCTGACTTAGTTATGTGCCCCTCTTTCCACTTTCTATACTTGTCCTTTTTATCTGTCAATCTATCAGAGAGTTCTTTATGCAGCCATGCTGGTTTCTTTTGAGAGCTGTTATTTTTCCTCTTTGTTGATATTGTGTTAGACTGGGCTTTTATTATCTCATTTTTCAAAATTTCCCAAGCTTCTTGAGTTGTTTTCCCCTTGAGGATTCTCATCCATGGAATCGTTCCCAATCCCTCTCTAAATTTATTGAAATTAGCTCTCTTGCAGTTCAAGACTCTACTTTGACTGTGTTCTATTGCTTGTGCTTCTATAATCTTGAATTCCAATATTGCATGATCACTTCCTCCCAAGGTTTCTATGGCTTCAACACCTTCTATCATTTCATCTCTGTTAGTGAGAATTAGATCCAAAATGGCTAATCCCCTAGTTCTCTTCTCTACATTTTAGGAGACAAAATTGTCTGCTAGGTTTGCCAGGAACCTGTTTGATCTTCCACTTGGTGCAGAGTTTGTCTCCCAGTTGATGTCAGGGTAGTTAAAGTCCCCCATTACTATTGTGATATACTTCCTACATACCTTAGTTAGCTGACTAGCAAAAAGTTCATCTATTTCCTCTGTTTGGTTGGGTGGCCTGTAGTATACATCTATGACAATGTCATTTCCCCCCCTTTTATATTGACCCAAATGCATTCAAGAAAGTTTTCATCATTGTTGTGCTCTATTTCTATAGAGATGTAGTTATTTCTTATATATAGAGCAACTCCACTTCCTCTTTTATTTGGTCTGTTTCTTTTAAATAATTTAAATCCCTCTAGCTGTGTGTTCCATTTGTGGGTTTCATCCCACCATGTTTCTGTAATGGCAACAATATCATATTTGCCCTCATTAACCTCTAATGTTTAACTTATTAAACATTAACTAAGATAGAGGTTAAATTAATAATCAAGAAACAGGACTCAGAACGTTCAGCCTGTTTGGGACTGGACTTCATTCCCCTTGAAGGGCAGATCCATGGTTGAGAGCGGTTCTCAGTTATCTCTGGATTTGTCAATAATGTTTTGGCCAGTTGTGATCCTTTTTCCACTAATCAAATTATCTAACCTCAGTTACATCGCATTTTGATTATTGCAATTTGTTCTACATGGATACATTAGGAAACTCTTTAAAAGTTGCAGTTGGTATAAAATGCAAAGATCAATGACACCTAGACTAAAACGTTCTGCACTATTTTTCAGGAAAAAGGCACACACCAACAAAAGAAGAAAGAAAAAAT